CTCTCCTAACTCTGTACTAAAATTTAAGTTTTCACATTGTTCTTTCGAATACTTATTATAAAACAATAAACGAAAATAGTCCACAGATAATTAATAAATATACAATGTAAAAAGAAAATCCAATTTAATATTATAAAAAACATATTGCATGAATTATTATTCCATTTTAATACTGATTTTAACTAGTATTACCACAAATAATATAGGAATTTAATTTAACAGCGTTTTAAATTATTTTAAGGAAGTATAGTCTCAGAATTCCTCAAGGATTTCAAGACCCTATGTGTTTTAAGGCCTCGGGGCACTGCTTTACTTTGCCCTATGACAGCACTCTACGCCGCTATCCCCAAATCTAAATCTAGTCTAATCTTTATTCTATAGTGGTCCTATTACAATAGCACAACTTGATTATAGAAGGCCTATGTGAAAATTTCCAGACTAGGGTCCTTGTTTATTATTATTATTTATTGTTATTATATTAAAACAAATAATATAATAGGTATGTGTATATTACAGATTATTGTAGGAATAACGTAAGAGATAAAGGTAGGGTTACTATTCGAAATTTTTTTAGAGTGCATATTCTCTTTTGAGCTCTTAAAATTGTTGTACTTTCTTATTCTATATTGGCAAGAATAGAATCTTTTTTCTATTTATAAACAAATATGTTTTTTATCGTCTGCAACAGCATATTAAAAAACCAATTATTGAAATCGGATGCCCTGCTCATATTATATAAAAACTGTTAAAATCGTTCCTATTCATCCCAAACTACGGTACATTATATTTTTAGATATAATTTTATGTTTTTATAAATAAGTTCTGTAAATTATTATTATATTAAGTATTCCATTAAACCTATTGCTGGGTAACTTATAGCTTATAGCAGCGGTTACCAGTCAATGATCCGTGGAACACTGGTGGTCCGCGAGAAAATTTAGGTGGTCTGGAGAAAAATTTTACGTTACTTACAGAATCTTTTTGTCGTTATTTCTCAAAAAAAGAAGACCCTAGACATGGTATTATGTAGATAATAGATCTATTGCAACAAACAATGAAAATAACAAATTAAATATGACCGAAAAAAAATGCCTCATCGATTTATTTAACGGTATTTACATAGAAAACTATTTTAAGCTAAAAGTAGTCCGTAGAATTTAGTGTATGTTTTTAATGGTCCGTGAGGTCCAAAAGGTTGGCGACCTCTGGCCTATAGGATAAGTAAATAAATTAATGTTTTACTATCTTTAATGTTATTATTTAATTGGGTAAATTGAAACGTTTTATGTTTTTTATTTATCATCATGATATCATAATTCATTACTAATCCTTACATGTTTTGTTCCGAAAAAATATTTTATTGATAGTCTATTGTCCATTAATATTAAATATTTAAATATATAGGTAACCATAATTATTTAAATATTATAAAGTCGGCAAATTTAATCAGTTGCCCCACCCTTTCAAAAGTTGAAATGACGTCCCTGGGTCACAGACTTTGACACTTGTCTGTAAATAGGATTGTCGTTAAGATAACGGACAACGGTTCGTTATTTCAAGTATTATAATTTAACACTAATTGGTTGTTTTGTGTAGGTCTATTCATATATGTATATTATTTACATGCAGACTTTGAAAATAGTATTTTTTTTCTTAATCTAAGTAGTAATTAGAAATAGAACATGCACATTTTATTTTAATTAATTCAAAAATTAATTTAACAATCTTTTTTAATAATAAAAGAAGTATTTGTCTACCAATGAAATAAGTCATAAAATCATACCAAATAGCCTAAATTAATGATTAAATATGAAGTTAAGTTTTTATGGAATTAAATAAGTAAATAAATGGAAAATATTTACGTAAATATGTGTGTATTTTATTCGAAGTGTATACAAAAAAAAAAAGAGAAATGTAACTAAACAATTTCTGAATGATTTAAAAAAAATAAAAACTTATAACTGATAGACAATAAAGTGATTATATAAGGCAGCGGTTCCCAAACTGTGCACCATGGTGCCCTAGGGGTACCGCGAGTACTTTTTAAGGGTACCGTGGTTTACGATTCATCACAAATAGTTTAAAATGTTTAGATTTATTTTTTTCCTTATTGTTTTTGTAAAAACTTTATATCAAATAATGAAATACTATCTACTGTATATTTGGAAATTCTCATTTTAACCTTATAATATTTTTATGTAATAATTATAATAATGATAACAATAATTTTATTTATTTAATTTTTAGGTTTAAAAATGCATTAATTTATAATCAAGTTAAATTTTAATAAAATTAATAAAATTAGTTATCAATGAGTATTTTTTTTGTCTTGTCTTTTGTATCATCCACAGCAGGGCACCGTGACTAAATTGAGTCCAAAAAAAGGCACCGCGGAAAAATAAGTTTGGGAACTGCTGATATAAGGTATTTCAAAAGGAACGCAGGATTTAAATCTGCTAAAAAATTTAATTTATTTTTTTTTTAAATAACATCACAAATATATCACTCTCTTCAGGAGAAGTGAAGTTTTAACAATGAAAAACAATATCGGGCATATGACGATTATTCTTTTCATATAATTTACCATCATTTGATCAGACATTGCCCCATCAAGTTCGCCGAGGAAACGACGAGTTTCTTGCTTAAGTTCCAAGACATTTCAAACTTTGTTCTGGTGTATTCGTGACTTAGTGTATTCTCATAAGAATAAAATCATATGAGTTGCACATTTTGCTAAATTGTACGTTTGGAGTTAAAATATGTATAATTTTAAAATGGCACGTTTTTGATAACTGCCTATGAATATGAATGCGATCGTAAACCAATTTTGATAATCAGTGATGAAAAATTAATAGGAAATTGTAATAAAAATTAAACATTACTTTATTTTAATAAACAATTCCATTCATTATCTATTAAGCTTATTAAATCAGATTAGTTTTTAATTCGAGAGAGATAACTAGTATTATTCTATTACAAACAATTATAATAGACACATGAATTCATTAAGAATGAAACTAATTTAAATTAAGATCTATATGAAACAGAAGTAAATAGTCAATTAAAAAATTAAAAATTAAATATGCAGTTATGTAAACTTTGTTCATAAATAGAAATATATAAAAGTATATACACAAAGCCTGATTTAGAATTTTTTAGGCCCGGAACAAAAAGAAAAAGTTGACCTATTTTTATAAATTGTAAATGAAATTAATTATATATTTACTTTTATTACTACTATATTATATACTATATACAGTGTGTTCAACGAGAAAGGTAACACGAAATATTTCGAACGCATGACTTTGTATGCAATTTGGGTTTTTTGTAATGCATAAAGGACATAAAATTACATTTATTTTTGATAAATGTTAATTTTTAATAAAAAATTTGCACATGCACAACAAAATAATTTTTTTTTTTTAAAGGAACCCCCCATTTTTAAGTTCAAATTTGAATTATGTGAATTTTTTCAAGCAACTTTGACCTTTAAAGTTTTGCTCTGTATTCAAAATTTATTGATTGAGAATGAGTTGAATTTTCAATTTATAACATTTGTATTTATCGTATTTTTCTGTAGTCTACTTAGATTTTTACAACTTTATAAGTGATTTCGTATGAATTTTTCTTAAAAATTAAGTGTAATATCATAAGTACAAGTAATTTACATTACTTCTACAGAAATTTTAACTCAATTTTCTTGTAAATGGTACAATTTTGGTTTTATTAAAACTAACACATAAACAAACAAACACATATTCTATTATTTAAATTCAGTTTTAAAACAAAATTTTGATTTTATTGAACAATAAAAATTTTGCACAGGTGAGTTTTGATTAAATTTTACAATTCATCGTATAAATTGCTCGAAGTTATTACCATTATTTGCAATGCATGCTTCACATTGTCACAATACTTTTCTGCATGGACATAACGAGGGTGGGGCAGGGGGGCACTTGCCCACCCCTGTGCCTCAAACTGAATTATATTTGTTTATACCAAACGTGTAAGTTTTACATTAGAATCAAAAATTAAATAAGATATAAGTCTAAAATTAGTTTAATGGACCGAGTGTTATCTACACGTGTAATCGTTTTGACGTTTTATGTGTTATCCAATGGTCTATCTGTAGATTATTTGAATTACTAATCGCTTTATGTTTTTGCTCCCCCCCTGATTCAAATTTTAGCTACGCCCATGGGTATAGCCTATTACGCTTATATTTGAATTGATATTTCGATATGCGTAAAGACTTTTTAAGCATTCTAAATCTAGTCGAGGAGCTTCAATAGCGTTTGTCTTAGAAAACGTAAATTTAATATAAATTCGTTCAAAAAAAAATACAAACATCGTAAACTCTAAATTTTTTTGTCGGCTGTTAATTAATAGTTTTTTTGATACAAAAATATTTTTAAGCTTTATATTGCTTTCGCCATTCATCGTGGATAATGAAAGACACTTGGAGCTCGAATATAATTACCATAATAAGATTTAGCATCCAGCAATATAATATAATCGATAAATTTAATAAATCGTTGTAATCTTTTCTTGGTTGATTTTCGGATATTTTTGTATTACAATAATCTAACTCTTGTTATATATTTTAACCTAGTTAAAACCTTATAGATCATTTCATATTAGCTTTTAACTAATTACCTATTAAATTGACAACAAATTAGGTAAATATTCTTATATTTTGTAGGTAAAGGTAACTTTTTATTTCTAAAAAATACAAAACAAAAGCTAATATTCACTATCCTATCTTTAATATTCAATAACAAAATCATAATATTTAATGTTCCAAATGTTTTGCGAAACAAGATTATGGTATTGGTCGAATTATTTTCTAGAACGTATTGTTATAATATAATCATTGCCAACAATGTACAAAATAAATAGTGATTAATTAGGAATTCTTTAATTGTACACAAATAAATATATATAACAACTGTAATTTAATACAATAGCAACGCATTATTTAGTATTATCTGGGTTGTCTGTTATCAATGCTGTTCGACGGTTATCGAGCGCGCTATATTGTGTCCACAAAATACAGACGAAAACAACCGCATAATTTTTGGTGTAGTGAGTTACTACTAACGTGTGAAAGGAGAATGGTTTTTTTTTTCCTACACACCGCATTATTTGTGTATAATTCTGCGTAATATCCGAAAAGGCGGTATAGTGCTCGTTATTATGCAATTACGTATTATCCACGGTCGGCGACACGCCTCGCGGCTCAGACACATTATCGCGGCGTGTACCGATTGATTAGAGTTGGGCATAGTTCAGTATACGTATTTCGTAGACATCAACTGTATGGCGTCTCAAATTATGTCTGTCACGTGGAAGGTTCGAGCATCATCTCCCTGAAGACAGAAGACAAAGTTGTGTCAAGTCCATTATGTCATCGTTTACGTTCGGCACTGACATCGATCCATTTTTGGTGAAAAATTTCAACGTGCAGTCCACTATTGGTAAGCATTACATTCACTCCATTTCCTAAGACCTGATAGGAAACTCCTCATGTTTTCATTGATTATACTTGGCAGGTCTGGTAACCGTGTGCGTCGGTTTGATAGCATTGGCTGTTGTGTTTGAGTCTCTGAAGACTGTGCATTTTATGATGAAAGTCCACAGGCGATTGTTGTGCTGTAGCCAGCCAGATTGCAAAGATTATGTCAACAGAGAAACGTTTGCAGTAACATTTTCAATGAAAATATTTGAGTAAGTCTGATGCTTGTTATCTACAAACATAATTTTATTTTATCATTCTGTTTTGTGTCTAGTTGTGTCAGGACACTGGTAGTTTACACGTTTCAAATGTTTATCGGTTATATTTTGATGTGTGCCATTATGACATTCAATGGCTATATATTTTTTGCTATCGTCGGAGGATATGGCTTAGGATACTGGTTATTTGGATTGACAATGATGCATTTGTCGGCAAAAAATTTGATGAAATCCCAAGACGTCCCAGTCAGATGTAAAAATTGTACTACAATTAATACAAATAGTATGTAAATTAATAGGATATATATAATAGAATATAAATTATGTTATTTATATTGAAAACATTTTTTGTTTATAGGAAAAGATACTACAGAAAATAGTATTTGTACTGATATTAGTGATGATTTACCATGTACAAGTTCTACTGTTCAAGTGGAAGTACATAATATATCATAATTATTATGAAATTATGTATTTTATTATAAAGACTCTGAGAAAATACCATATTTTCTACACAATTTAAGTTTAAAATTATTGATATATTTTTTTATTTTAATAGTTACCATTAATCTTAAAATGTTTATTGAAAATCCAAAGAAATTGTTAATTAGTATTTATAATCAATAATAATATTAGACATTACAATTTATTTCTATTGAATTTATTGTTCATTCTCTTCAATTTTGAATGTGTACTATTTCCATCAAAATGATTTGTTATTGTTTTAATCTTTAGTAATATATGGTAAACCATATTACATTTTCAATTTAATAATTTTTTTTTTTAATCTGATTCAAAATAATTCTGATGTTTTATTTTCTTGTAAGTTATTTAAGTTTGAATAAGGAAATAGTAAATTTTAATTGTTTTCGACTAATTGTAAAATTGTAAATGCAATTGTAATTATTTTATACAATATGAATATTTTATTAATTTTGGAGAAAAATTTGATATAATTTAGAGTATAGACTTATGATTAAGTAAATAATATATTTTACTTAAATCTATATTTACCTACTAAAGAGTCATTATCAGGGCTCATAACTTCTAGAATTTGCATATTTTTTTTTGAGAGGTCCTAGAGGTACCTATGTGAGGTATAAATTTGTTTCAGATAACCAAGAAGCTACATACAAAATTTTATGTTTCATATTTCAAAGTATAATTTTTTAATTATAGAAGTTTAAATAATATAATAAATAATAATAATAAAATAATAATTTTTGTGTACAAATGTTTTTTTTTCATATTTTAGTATTTTTAGTGCATATTTAAGCGCTTATATGAATACTTTTTAGAGCATATTTAAGCACTTATAACAACCTTTTTTAGAGCTATAAGTTATGAGCCCTGGTCATCTTGTACAAATAGTTATTTGTAATTGTTATATTTTCAATTTGTATTGATCAACTTATTTTAAATGCTACCAATTTAATCAATAAATTGTTTTAATACACTAAGAATAATGATAATTAGGAAACAAATTTTATCATAAAACAAAAATGAAAATTTGTAAACAAAAATTTAAAGTAGGTAATAAGTAATATAATATAAACTTGAATAAAAGAATAACATAATTTTAATATTTAATTATTGAAACAATTCAGAACTTCAAATTCTCTTAGTCTAAGGTTTGAAGATGTTAAGTGGTAATAATTTGGTTGTAAAATATATGGTGGAAATAGAATACTAAAAACTAACAGGTTAAAACACAAAAGAATAAAATATTCCTTAAATATTTTTAAAATATGTAATTATTTATCAAATAAATAAAATTAAATTGAGATTACTTAAATTAGAATGATCCATATCATATACATTTTTATCAAATAATAAATATTTCATTCCAATAAACATAAGTGTTGACAATAAAATCCGTTCCTTAGAGATAATAAGTTAATTTAGTGAAATTTTTCCTAAAGGACATTTACAACTACAGCAGGGTGTAAGAGGTTTCAATGTATCTATGTTTATAGTAGGAAAGAAAGGATATATCTTTACATTTATTTATAAGCATCGACCTTAATAAAAATTATTTTATTTAAATTAATAAAGTAACTAAATAAAAAATTGTACACATCTAGATTGTCATTACTCAGGTCCTTTGTAATCTTTCCATTCTTCCGGATTGATATCGTAATCGACCATTGTTTTTCTAAGATTCCACCAAACATTGATGAAACCAAAGTCAACAGCACGCTCATGGACTGAAAGTACTGAGGGTTTTAAATATTTGCAATTGGCTTTGTATGCTTGTACGTTTTCATTAAACTCATCAATCCACATGATCGAGAAAAACAGTAAGTTAAGACGCTTGATGACGCCCATGTTGTAGCATTGCTCCAAATACTCCAATCGTCGGACGGCCGATGGGTTTTGTACGGCTGGTGGGATGTATAGCATGGAGTTGGCGCAATCGAGAAGCTCAGACCTATAACTGCGTTCGTCAGGATTGGTTGCTGCGCAATAGTAAGCGCAGCCAGCGATCGCTGTTGTCAGTAAGCTTTTAACCGGGTTTTCTCTAATGTACGTCCCGATGCTCATCGTCGCTTCGTAATAGTCCTTGGCCACACTCTCCCAGTACTGTTTCCAGCGCTCGACAAAAGTGCCGCGGAAACGTTCTGGGAAGGCGAACCGACCGGCAATCTGTTGCTTCAAACCGCTGCCTATGGCGGTGCTGTACAGTTTACTCGATCGGCAGACAGTAAACATGGCTGGTATGGGCACACCACGGCGGTCTAAACTCCCTTTTAGAATTTGAACAATAATTTAAATCTTTTCTCGTTTCTTGATTTATCAGTTTATCACAACATTTATAACTCCGATTTACAGATTACATATCACTAGTAGCACGGTTATCTACTCTATATAACCATGATAAATAGTAACTTAGGATTCGGTTTACAATCCACAGATCTATAATTAATGGTAGCCGTGGTACCTAGATATCTAGTTTTCATGGATCTACCTAACTAGTATATTGGTCCAAGGTTCGATCAGCTTATATGGTAGACTTTTTATGTTGGTAACGGCATCGTGGCAGCAGGTTGCCAGTACTCGCCGTTACCAAAAGCCGCAACAGCACCGTGATAATAACAATAGAATGCGACTAGTCAAGTATCGGGGTAGCTCATTTTTCGTTTTTTCGGTGTTATGGTACACCATTGTTGCGTTTCAAAATGTCTGTACAATCGATCATAAATTATTGGTATTGAATTAGTGCTGTCATTTTAATCGTTTTGATTGCTCGTGATTCTTGAGACCTGTCACAATATGGTGAACTCCATTGAAATACCGTTAAAGGATTCGGACGAGGTATGTACCATTATAGTTGTCGTCTCTTTACTATTCTCGCGTGGACACTTAAGTACAAATTTTTTATTCTGGTCGAATTCCGTATGGATTACTTTTTGCTGTATATATTTCGAGAAATATATGTTGTATTATTTATAGATGTAGTGATTTTTTTTTTATTCACAATATTCAAAATATAATAAATATTCAAAAATCAACATAAATTTCATTAATTTTCTTTAGGAACATTGGAATATGACGACAGAATTACTTTAATCTTATTTCATACAGCATAGAAATACTTAATACACTTTTAACAAATTGGAGTACTAAAGTCTGTTTTTGATTATTTTACATTTCAGTTTGCATATTTTATATTGTTACGTGCCACCGGCTCGATTTTAAATTGTGTAGTCGAAGATGTATTTAATTTGAATTAATTAGACATGAGACTTTAACTTTTTAATACATTTAATATGTTTATTTTATAATTCAAAGTGTTTAACAAAATTCTGATACCGAGTGACATGAAGATGCTTTTAGTTCCGTGACTAGAACTCATCTGAATTGTGGTTGTTTTGGTCCCTCTTGTATATTGTTCCATTGACGTCATAGGACTTGTTGTTTTAGCAGTATCCAGCTATAGGCCTTGTTCCTAATATAATATTCTAGGAATATAGATTAATATTTGACGCATCTTCCGATTATTACTCGGCTCACGACCAATTAGTTAAATATAACAATATGCTGTCATACGCAATATATATAATTTTGTGTTACACACATTTTTTATTTATACATGGTAGCCCATAACAATATGTTTCTCTTATCAAACATTTTAATTTTAAAACAAGATTTTAAGCTATTATGTTTATAATTGTCTTACATAAAATTTAGTTATATATGTAAGAAAATTTAAGTTGATATTTTTTAGTCAACTTAATGACATTTATTTGTTATTTTTGATAGTTGTTATTTAAAAATTTAATACTTTTGTATTTTAAAAGATTATGGGTTTTTTTTTAGGTGATCGAAATTCAACTTGACAAGTTGCCTGACTATGATGAAGTTCTTGGAATTTTAAAATCTGAACATTCTAATTTAAATATTTGGGTCAATTTAGCTGTATGTTTTATTTAAAAACTATTGAATACCTAGTGCTTTAATATAATAAAATGGTTTTTTTTTTTTTTTTTTTTTATAATATTTAGCTGGAATATTATAAAAAAGGTAACTCAACTGCTTTGGTTAGATTGTTAGAGTCATCACGTAGTAATGCCAGCTTAGAGTACAAAGATAGCGATAGAGATCAAATGAGAGCTTTAGATATGCTAGCAGCATATTATGTTCAAACAGCTAATAGAGAAAAGAGTAAAGACAAACGTCGTGAACTTTTTACTAAGGCTACACAACTTTATACTACAGCAGATAAGATTATTATGTACGATACGGTAAGAATATGATTTTATTTTAATGTTTTTAAAATTGATTTTAACATTATATTGATTTTGTAGAACCACTTATTGGGCAGAGCTTTTTTCTGTTTATTGGAAGGTGATAAAATTGAACAAGCAGATGCACAATTCAATTTTGTTTTGAACCAATCGTCCAATAATATACCAGCTCAATTAGGAAAAGCCTGTATTGCATTTAACAGAAAAGACTATAGAGGAGCTTTAGCTTACTATAAAAAAGCATTACGTTCTAATCCCAAATGTCCTGCTGATGTTAGATTGGGCATGGCTCACTGCTTTCTAAAGTTAGGAAATACAGAAAAAGCAAGATTAGCATTTGAACGTGCATTACAGTTGGACCCTAAGTGTGTGGGAGCTTTGGTAGGCCTTGCAATAATGAAATTGAACGGTGAAAATCCTGGTGACATAAAACTTGGTGTAAATATGTTGTCAAAAGCATATACCATTGATACAACCAATCCAATGGTATTAAATCATTTGTCCAATCATTTTTTTTTTAAAAAAGATTATACCAAATCTGAACTACTTGCTAGACATGCATTACAAAATACAGAGAATGAAGCTATGAGAGCTGAAAGTTGTTATCAAATGGCAAGAGCTTTTCATGTACAGGTAAAATAATTTTTATTTTATTTACAGTCCTTTATTAAATTTCATAAATCTAAATCTATAACATATATCTTTTAGAATAATTATGATCAAGCATTTCAGTATTATTATCAAGCTACGCAGTTTGCACCAGTTACATTTGTACTTCCACATTATGGACTTGGTCAAATGTATATTTATGGAGGCGACATGGAAAATGTAATATTTATATATTCAAAATTTATTTTTATTTTTATTAAAATTACAATCAGTCTAAATATATTTGTGTATTTTTAATCAATCTAGGCTGCTCAATGCTTTGAAAAAGTTCTGAAAGCTCAACCAGGTAATTATGAAGCAATGAAAATTCTGGGATCATTGTATGCCGATTCAAAAAATCAACAAAAACGCGATATTGCCAAAAGTCATTTAAAAAAAAGTATTCTTTGGAAATTAAAAAAAAAGAAACAAATTATACATTGAACTTACTGTTTTATATCTTAGGTTACAGAACATTTTCCAGAAGATGTAGAAGCTTGGATTGAACTTGCTCAAATATTAGAACAATCAGATTTGCAAGGATCACTGTCTGCATATGGTAAAGCTATGGATTTATTACATAGCAGTGAAAATAATTATATTCCACCTGAAATTCTGAATAATGTTGCAGCATTAAATTATAGGTAAGACTTATGTAAAAGAAAAACATATTTTAATATTGGACAAAAATATAGCTTTTTATTCTATTATAGGCTTGGGAATTTGGATGAATCTCGTTTTAAGCTTGAAGAATCTTTGAGTTTATCAAAAAAAATGGTTGAAGCTGACCCTCAGCATTATAACTCAATAGCAGTAACAACTACTTATAATTTGGCCAGGATCTTTGAAGCCCAATGTCAATTTCAGAGAGCTGAAACATTGTACAAAGATATTCTCAAGGAGCATCCTAATTATATTGATTGTATATTAATTATATTAGTGCATATGTTATTGAATTGCTTTAATACTATACTGTACATACATTTAGGCTATTTGCGTTTGGGCTGCATGGCTCGAGATCGCAACCAGATTTATGAGGCTTCTGATTGGTTCAAAGAAGCTTTGCGTATTGATAATGAACATCCTGATGCTTGGTCGTTACTTGGAAATTTACATTTAGCCAAAATGGAATGGGGTCCTGGACAAAAAAAATTTGAACGTGTGCTTAAGGTATTTTACGAAATGTAAATTATATTGTCCTAAAATAATAATTTTGAGTTTTTTTTTTTTTTAAGAATCCATCAACTTTAAATGATTCATATTCATTAATTGCTTTGGGAAATGTTTGGCTACAAACTTTACATCAACCAACTAGAAATAAGGAACAAGAAAAAAGACATCAGGATTTAGCTTTACAGTTTTTTACAAAAGTATTGAAAAACGATCCAAGAAACATTTGGGCAGCTAATGGAATTGGTAAGTTAATATTGGTTAGAATTAGAAATTGTTCTTAGTACATAACTAATTATATAAATATAGAAGTAATAGTTTAGTAATATTAATAGTTTTAATTACATTTTTTGTTATAAAATTAAAAAAAATATATGTAAAGATTAACTTAAGTATATGTTGCATGTGGTTTAATGATGCGTATCAGGCAATTTAGTGGAGTAAGCATTTATGAATTATATTTAATTTTAATTTTCTATACTATAATTTTTATAAGAAACAAGTAATATAGAAATACTAGAAATTAGTATTTTTATTTTGTATTATTACTGATTTTCATATAATAAATTCTATATTTGTGTAAACAATTTGCACAAAAACATTTAATTTTTTTAATAATAATGGTTGTTAAATGATATAGTAAAACATAACAATTTGGCAGATTATTCATATGAACACAATTTACAGTAGGTTCTTACATAAGACCACAATTTTTTTTTTAAACCTTTCAATATTGGATACTTTTTTTTAGGTAATTAAGTTTGTTTAAATAGACTTGGGACAAAGATTAAAGAAATTTTATGCATGAAATTTATTTTTTGTTTAATTTTATCATAAAAGAAATATTTGTTTGAAGATCTTATATGTAATTTAACTCGTGTTGTTAAAAAATTTTTGTGTTTGTATTAATTTTAGGTTGTGTCATGGCACACAAACATTGTATAAATGAAGCGAGAGATATATTTGCTCAAGTAAGAGAAGCTACTGCTGATTTTTGTGATGTTTGGTTAAATATCGCTCATATTTACATTGAACAAAAGCAGTACATTAGTGCTATTCAAATGGTATATTCTAATTCATTCAGATTAAATAAACTGTACATATTAATTAAATAAAAAATATTTAATGTTATTTGTTTTAGTATGAAAATTGTATGAAGAAGTTTTTTAAACATGACAGTGTTGAAGTTCTTCAATACCTTGGACGTGCGTATTTTAAAGCAGGAAAGTTAAAAGAAGCAAAGACTGTTTTTTTGAAAGTTAGTTACCTTAATTATAAATTAATTAGTAATTATTCTTATTATAAGCTGCTCATATTATTAATTTAAACTAAATTAAATATTAGGCTCGAAGGGTTGCTCCTCAAGACACTGTTATCATTTACAATATTGCCTTTGTTCTACAAAAATTAGCTGCTCAGATATTAAAGGATGAAAAATCAAATTTAAAAAATGTACTTCAAGCTGTAAAAGAACTGGAATTATCATACAAGTATAATTAATTTCTAAGAATAATTTATTGTTATTTATTACAAATGTTTTAACATTATTTTGTTTATATAGATATTTCCAATATTTATCGGTTCACGGTGATCGCATGAGGTATGATATGACTTTAGCTGATATTGAAGCTAAACAGTGTCAAGATTTACTATCTCAAGCACAATACCATGTGGCTCGGGCACGGAAAATGGATAATGATGAACGTGAAATGCGTCGTAAACAGGAAGAGGAACGAGAAGCATTAAAAGTTAAACAAATTGAAGAACAGGTTAAGGCATTACAAAGGCAAGAAGAACAGAAGAAAGAAATGTTGTTGAAACGTCAAGAATATAGAGAAAAAACCAAAAATGCACTAGTTTTCGACCAAGTACTAGAAAAACCTAAAGGTAAAGGAAAACGCCGTGAAAATTATGGATCAGATTCTGGTGGAAGTATTGCATCTGATCAAGGTGGCAATAAGAGTCCTAGACCTTCTAAATCAAATAAATCAAGAAAAAGGTATTGATTTTTATCATATTATTTAATAACTGATTTAGTTACTATTTATTTCCAATTGATTCATTATTTACTATTTTAATTTAGTGGTGGTGATAAAGAAAAGAAAAGAAAAGGTGGATCTAAACGTAGGAGAGATAGTAATGCATCGGCTGGATCTGGTGGTAGCGATAAAATTACAACTAAGAAAAGCCGTTTGGTAGGTTTTTTACTTTAATGTTAGTATGAATAATACTACTTTTTAATATCTTAAACATTTTGTGTTTAGTCTGCAAGCAATAAAAAAGGACCTATGTTATCGTCGAAGCAGAAACTTAGAGTTGTATCTAAGGCAACTATATCAACTAGTGAAGATGATAGCAGTGATGGTGAAGTAAAAAAACGAATTTCTGGACAGTTAGTATAAAAATTAATTATTATAGTTGATTAATATTTGTAGTAATTTTTATGTTTAATACTTAATTTAAAATTATTATTCAATATTTCAGTAGTTCAAAGAATGTCCGTCGATCTCGATCAAGGTTAGTAATTTTTTTTTATTTTATGTTAACTTTGTGCTAAATGAATGTATGTATTTATTTATTTATTGTACTCTGAAATTTTAGCTCTGGATCACGTTCTGGATCTGGGAGTCGTAAATCTAGAAGTCCCTCAAGATCTCGTTCCGGTTCACATAGATCTAGATCAAAATCTCAAAGTGCTTCACAGAGTCGTTCAAGGTCCAGATCACGTTCAGTTAGCCGATCTCGATCTGGTAGCCGTTCTCGTTCTGGTAGTCGTTCACGTTCAGGAAGTCATTCTCCTTCACGTAGTCATTCACAATCAGATAGCCGTTCAAGATCACGCTCTGCATCTGGTTCCAAATCACGGTCACAATCTCATAGCAAATCTAAGTCGGTATCAAGATCACCAGCTCGTTCAAAATCTGGTAGTCGTTCTGTTTCTAATTCACCAGCTCGTTCAGGAAGTAGGTCTGCTTCCAATTCACCTGCAAGGTCTAAATCTGGTAGCATATCTTCCAGATCAAGGTAAGTTTATTAAATCAAATACAAAGTTAATTTTTTTGTATGTTTGTAGTTGGAATTAAGAATATTAGCAACAATTCTTCAGAATTATTTTCATTTTCAATTTGCTTAAAGTTTTACTCTACTTAATAATTAAAAATCAGCTTTTAATTTTTTTTTTTTCTATGAGATTTTGAGAAAATTTTTAGTTATATCTATGCAATAAAATGTAATATATTTCATTTATGACAATTATTTAAAATTAAATTTTAAATAATTTTGTTAACTGTATGGTAAATTTAAAACTGTTTTGTGTGTGAATTCTTATTGCATCAATTGACAAATTTAAGTTTCAATGAAATTTAATTTGTTTTAATTTCATATATTTACCATTTCAAAATTACAAAAAAATAGAAAATTTGTATGTTTTACTGTATATTTCTTATTTATAGTAGACCAATCTAGAAATTCATTTTGTACCACAAGTTTTAAAATCTAGAATTCATAACGTACATTTTTCTTATTTTGTCAGTTTTATGTAAAAAGTGTGTAGTTTTCATTTTTGTGTGAAAAATGCATACCTATTATGCATATTTAATATTTTCTAAATATGAATTAATCCTGGTTTGATTCTTAAAAGCTGTTTTCTTAAAAATATCTCATAAAAAAGAACTTTTTTAATTATTATATATTTATCTATCATTTTGAATATCAAATATATATGTGTGTTTTACAATTTTTTTTGTATATGTTATTCATTTTTTAAGCATAGTGCAAGAATTATGCTTTTTTAACTTCTATAACTTCTGAGTTATACTGAATTATGTATTAATTTATATATTAATTAATAATTTAATTTTCATTCTAGCTATATTGTATTTTCTTTAAAAATGTGTTTATCTGATCACTTCTTATTCCTTCTTATTCCCTAGATTACAAATTGTAGTTAGCCTACACTAAAATATAGTTAATTTATAGAATAAATCAATTTTATTATAAAATATAAATATTACTTATTTTGATGTTCTTTTAAATATTTAATTGAATTACAATTATTTTTATCGAAGATTTCTCTCTTTTGTATAGGTATCTATTATTAAGATTTTTACTTTTGAAGTTCATTAAATGGTTTAGTAGTATGTAGATCGTTAAAATACTGGATGCTCAAGTATCTAATAATTTTTTATATTTTGTATTTCTGTTTTGTTTTTATAAAGTTATGATTGAATGATAAATAAAATATTTTAAATCAGTCAAGTATTTCGAATATTTTTTTTTTCAGAAGTGGATCAGGTTCAAGATCAGGCTCTGCTTCACCAGCTTAAAAAACTCAAAATTATGTTAGATTACTTATAATTTTTGAAAATTGAGTAAGTGTTTTATAATTTTTGTTTATCATGATTTATGTCTTATTTTATTCTTATTACTGGACAATAGAATTATGATTTGATTATAAAACACAGTTTTTTAATTATATCAAAGACTCAAGAAATTCTAGTTTAATAAATATGCACACTTGTTTATCTTAATAATTTTTTTAATAATTTAAGTGAAAGTATAATGTCTTGTGTGAGAATTTTACTAAAAATGAAATTGGTTTGTTATTCATCAATTATAACACATATTGTAATATAAAATTTTCTTATTAAATTACATTTTATTAATTTTTGTTTAATCAAATTAATTTATAATATTTTTTAATTTTTTTATCTTATTATTATTTACAGAAAATTAATATTTCTCATTCATAAGATTTTGTGTCACCTACTTTCAAGATATTTTATTGTATGATTTTTTTTTTTTTTATATATAACAATTTTATGTACATTTATAACTTTTATCAATATTTACAATTTTTGTTGCGTACATGCAATGTAGTATTTTCTTTTTATTCCATTTGATAATTATTAGATAGATTATAACAGACTGAACTATAGGGAAATTAATATAGTTACTGTAATAATAATACTTAATTTGTTTATTTTTTGTTTATCTTGGTGTTAAATTTAATGTTTTTAATTTTTCATTATGCTATTGAGGTTATTTTTTAATCAATAACTATTATAAAAAAATATTAAAGCATTAAGTATAATCAATTATGTACACAATTTATGTTTTGTATGGCATTTGTATATTTTATTTAGCATTTATTAAAAAATAAAGTAATTTTCACTGTATAGTAATTGGTATAATTTACTTATAGTCTATATATTATATGTTCATAATATTAAGTAGAATTACATTTTAATATATAACCCTTTCACGACGAGCCTTAATTTTTGTTTTAATATGTTTTACAACTAGCACACACAATTGTGTATATAAATCTATACTATCTTTAGTCCTGCTTGATTAATTGATTTTAGTAATTGGTATTAACGAACCTACACAAATTTGTGGTTGGTTTCTTAAAATTATGTAGACTAAAAAAATGTAGATAGAACGTTTAAACCTTAACCACATGATTGTGTAGGATATTCCTTATCTGTACAAAAATAAACGAATTTAATATTTCTAAAAATAATCATTTATTTGGAATTTTCGTCTGGCCTATTCAATACCATTCCTCATTACATTAAATTATCATTTACCAACGGTTATTTGTGTTGGCATTATTATATAATATTTTTCGGTACATGGTGACGATTTTTATAATTCAGAACATAAACAGTTATCGTTAGTAGTTCCTTCGGTTCGCACGGCTTAAGTTAACCTACACAATTGTGTAGGTTAGTATTCATTTTCGTGTCTTTGCATTTTGTTTTATATTTTTGTTAAAATGCGTCGTGCAAAGTTGAATGCGACCGATATTTTAACCACTTTGAACGAAGAATCAGAAATAGACGATTTTAGTGGTGATGATTCGGATTTTGACATAACGTGGCAACCTTTCCCTAAAAAAAATGCAGGTCAATCGGATCTATCTGGATCAGATTCTGACGAAGACCAAGATACATTAACCAATAACGAATGTAATAATAATAATAATTTGGATGTCAGTTTAAATACAAATAATATAGAAGTACCAACCCAAACTAGTACACAATCAACACCAAATATTGGATGGAGCCAAATGCCTTTTCTGGGTGTACCACTACCCGAATTTAATGGCCCTCGGAATTGTATTGAATTAGGCTCACATATTAGTTACGTAGAAAAATATTTACCAGATTTACATTTCGAAGAAGCTGCGCTATATACTAACATGTATGCATTTAGTACTAAGGGGAAAGAATTCAGAGCCACTGCCAATGAAATAAAAGTATTTTATGGTGCCCAGGCATTGATGGGAATTATTAAATATCCTCGATTTTTTATGTACTGGCAGAGAGGTATCGCTTTGGATCTCATATCTTCTGCAATCACAAGAGATAGGTTTCTAGCTATACGCACACATTTACATTTTGTTGATGTAAATAACCGTCTTCCAAACAACAAAAGTAAATTTTGGAAAGTTCAGCCGTTGATCGAATTTGTTCGAAATGCATGTAGAAATATACCTCGATCCATTGGTTTATATTCTATAGACGAACAGTTAATACCTTTTACTGGCAGGTGTCCTCATCGGCAATTCGTAAAAAATAAACCACGTCCCGTCGGGCTTAAAAACTTTGTGATTACGACCACTACAGGAATGGTCCTCGATTTTGAACTATATCAAGGGACTGAAACTCCTTTTGAAGACCGCTCTCTTGGATTAGGACCCGCTGTTATTCTACATTTATCGAAAACAATACCTAAAGAATCAGTACTATTTTTTGATAGATATTTTACAACTGTCCCATTTATGTGACGGGAACAATCATGCAGAATCGTTTGAAAAATGTTCATTTTTCGAATGACAAAAAATTTGAACGTGGTGTATGGGAGGAATTTACAAGAGCTGATCAGAAATTAACTGCCATTAAATGGAAAGGCAGTAAATGTGTAACAACGGTATCGACAACAACAGGTGCAGAACCACATAAAATAGTTAAAAGGTGGAGTAAAACCAAAAATAAAGAGATAAATGTTCCTTGTCCTGCAGTAGTAGTATCATATAATAAAAATATGGGCGGCGTTGACTTGTGCAATCAACAAATAGAAGCTTACCGCACATGGTTTAAATCGAAGAAGTGAACGGTAAAAGTTGCAATACACTTCATAGACTTAGCAATAGTTAATGCTTGGATGGAGTACAAAGAAGACGCAACTAAAATGCAAATTCCCAAAAAAAACATAAAAGATTTAATGGAGTTCAAAATCAATATCGCCAAAGAATGGCTCTCAACACCAATTAACAACAAACGACCAAATGAAGATGAAAATTCTATCGATGCAAATGAAGAACCTCCAAACAAAGTTTAAAATTTTAGAGCACCTATTCCAACAGAAAAAAAGGTGAAATATTTAAATCTATACTGTCTTTTATTAAAAATGTTATTTATTTTATTATTATTATTTTATTTTATTTAGCGTTATGATGCGTATGATCACTGGCCAGAAGCTGACAGTTTAAACACTGCTCGTAACTGTAGAAGAGAGGGATGTAAAAGCAGAACCAGAAACAGATGTAGCAAATGTAATGTTTATTTGTGTCTTACTCCTAAAAACAACTGTTTTAGAATGTTTCATATAAAATAAATTATTATTATTATTATTATTATACAATTTTTTTTACCAATAGTTCTAACATGTTTATGTCTTACTAAAAAGAAGACTAAAATTAATATTTCATAAAATATGTGATTAAAAATATTTCAAATAAAATTAACTTTAACTTTTTACGATAAATATGAGTAGTAATTAATAGCAATAATAAACTACGAACCTAAACAAATGTGTAGGTTTATTTTTAAGATTTTCAAATGGTTTAAAATTTTTTTTTTATTTAAAACGTTATCATGTTTGTATACAGATTCCATTTTAACAATAAAAAGTTGTAAAAATTAAAAAAAAAAATCCAGGTTTTTAGAGGGTCCAAAAAAACCTGCACATTTGTGTAGGATCGTTTTAAAACTGATCACTAGGGTCCGGATTTTTATGCATTTACATATTTGTAATGAGTGTATGCAGTTCAACGGGAGTAAGAAATGTGAACGATTTGTGTAGCAGAGAATCTATAGAAAAAAGTTTATTTTGCATATAAATGCATATTTTAAGGTTGAGAGCATATTTGAAGAATTCGGCATAATAAAGCATATTTTGGTACATAATAGTTATTTTATTTATATTTCACTATAGAAACTAGATTTATGAGTTTATGAAGTATTGTGGGGAAATATTTAATTTGTATTAAAACCATATCTTGCTTATCGAAACACATCGATCGACAACAATGAAGACCAGTTATATATAAATTTCCTTCATACAATTATATTTTTAGCATGATTATTATTATTATTATCGTGATTTTAAGTCTTATATTGGATAAACACGCTGCATCGTGGCTCTTGTTGTTTTACATTTAGTTGGTATTTAATCGTCGCGCGTCGTGCTGTAGTCGCCAGTCGGTAATCGCCTATAAATATAATTTCGTAATCCGCATTCCGTATATAAACAAATTTCTTTAATAATTTTTTTTTTACACTCGTAAATTTTAAAATGCCGAAAAGTCGTAGTAATATTCAAATTTTAATAAAACAATGGATTGCATTGTATAATAAAACAGACCACACAATTTTTACTACGGACGGTTCTGTAGTGTTTTGTCAAATGTGTGACAAAAAAATCGTTTGCACCAAAAAATTTCAAATACAACAACACGTTGATACTGCTTTGCATAAAAGTGCTTTAAATCGTAAAGCAAATGATAACAAAAAACAATTATTTGTATTGGACGCAAAACCTAAATCTGGTAACATTTTTTAACGAGGATCTTTGTTCAGCTTTGATAGTCGCTAATATACCATGGAATAAACTTCAAATTCCCGAATTCAAGAATTTTTTGGAAAAGTACACAGGTAAGTATATTCCCGATGAAAGTACACTTAGAAAAAATTATCTTGGTCCATGTTACAATAATGTTATAAATGCAATCCGAGAAATTATTGGAAATTCAAATATTTGGATTGCTGTTGACGAAACAACTGATACAAACGGCCGTTATATACCAAATTTATTAGTTGGCGTTTTAGAATGTGATACACCAAGTCAACCCTATCTATTAGCATGTAAAGAACTGCCAAAAACAAATCACTCTACCGTATCTCGTTTTATTAACGATAGTTTAAAAATATTATGGTCCGCTGGGGGAAATGACGAAAACCTAAGATTGTTTTTATCAGATGCAGCGCCATATATGGTTAAAACTGGAGATGCATTAAAAGTGTTTTACCCAAATATCATCCATGTAACATGCGTAGCACATATGTTAAACAGAGAAGCAGAAAAGGTAAGAGAGTTATTCCCCGATGTAAATAAATTAATTAACAATGTAAAAAAATCTTTTTTAAAGTCACCTTCTCGTATTCAACTATATAAAGAAATGCTACCTGGTTTACCATTGCCCCCGGAACCAGTTATTACAAGATGGGGGACATGGATAGAGGCAGTTATATTTAATGCAAATAACTATGAAGGTATTAAAAGTGTAATAGAAAAACTAGATAATGATTCTTCAGCAAGTGTAGATAATTGTAAAAAAATGTTCAATTTGACTACAGTGAAAAATGATTTAACATTTATAAAAATTAACTTTTCTGGACTTATTCGGGCAATCACAAACTTAGAAGATACTAAATTGACATTACTACAATCGTTAGAGATTACGAAAAATATAATTTCCGAACTATCAAATATACAAGGTGACAAAGGTTCTATCATAAAAAATAAAATATCTCAGTTATATCAAAAAAATAAAGGATTTCAAGTACTAGAACAAATCGGACTAGTTATATCAGGTAACAATGAAATACAGATTCCAGAAAATTTCAATCCTTGCTCTGTGGCAAATATGAAATATGCACCGTTGACGTCAGTAGATGTGGAAAGATCCTTCAGTCTATATAAACATATATTAAGTGATAGAAGAATAAATATGACACCTGAACATATGGAAGAGTATATTATTGTTAACTCTTTTTATAAAAAGTAAATATCGATTTATATCTATTAGGTAATTAAAATGTTTTTATTTGTTTAAATTGTTTTTTTTATATATATAAATTGTCTTCATTGGTATAAAAGAATTAAATACATTTTTTTTATTATTATTTTTAACTAAAGTGCACTTTATTAATTTAATGTAATTTTTTAAACATTTTTTGTCTTTAATTAATGTTGTAAGTTGATGTCGCAGTGCCGGTAATAAAAAAAATTAAGTTTGTTTGATTATGTTGTGATAATTATTATTTATTAATATATAAAGAAAAAAATTAAAAAAAAAATTATAAATGCATATATTTTGGGTAAGAGCATATTTTTGCATATTTTTTAAAAAAAATAAGAGCATATCTAGTGCATATTTAAAGGTTTTTTGATGCATAAATGCATACTATTTTAAGGTTTTTAAGTGCATACAAATCCGGACCCTACTGATCACTGTATGATTTTATATTCGTTTTTAATTAGGCACACGCTAACCTACACAAATGTGTGTGTTCGTCGTGAAAGGGATAATATGCATTACAATAGAAGTAAAGTATTTATAAAAAAGTAAATACCTTTCAATATTCACTATACCTTTAACTAGCTTAGGAAAATGTTTACCTTTAATCTTAAAGCCCCTATGTGAAAACTATACTACTTAATAATTTGGTTCAAAATTTATTTACATTCTGATAAGATGAAAAATATAAAATTTTTCATACATAGTATAAGTACAAGTATCAAACAGTTTTAAATGTGTTTTCATTTCCGTTTTCAATTAAGCACTGTTTGAAGAGCTTTAATATAATACATTGCTGAAGATAAATCATATTTCCACACTGTAATTATTTCTTTATTTTATTTATAATTTATAGAATTGGATTTGTCATTTCAAGTACCAAAATTAACTGAAAAATTTTGAGTTAAAACAATAAACCAGTTCCGTTAGCTCTAACATCCGGTTATTTAGTTTAATTTACAATATTTTCATGTACTTGTAAAATGGCTAAATAACTATGTTTTAAAGCTGACATTGCCTCAGACCGACATGCCCATCTTGTTGTAGACAGAGATTAATTTTTTTTAACGATGCGTTGATAAAAGGTGATATTTGTTCTAAAACTGCTGCATGGTGTTCGGGCACTTCCTTCAATAATTCAATAAGTTAATTGTATTACTCCAAAAAAGTCAAATACAATTATATAATTTTTTCGTACAAGCATCAATGAGAACTAAATTAAGACAGTGTGCATAACAGTGTATGTTATGCTTGAATTTACTTCATTATATTTTGTTTGTACCCCAGAAATGTAACCGGACATCACTGTGTCGTGTCATTTAGATATTAATATTTTAAAATTAAATAAAATTCGTTTAAGGTATAAAATATATTATATGTATCAGTGTTGCTCAGATACTATTTTTTTTGGCTTTTCCTATTTTTTTTCAAGGGTTTTCATATAATGTAATTTTTTCATTATCAAAAAAGTATTTCTTTTTGGTTTTATTCTTTATAAGCTATAAAAATTCAATTTTTTTTGTTGAAAAAATGTTGTTAATAATATAATACTATTGGTGTCCATTTAGGTTATTAGATTTTTTTGATTAAACTTTTATCAAGGTAGATATTATAATGTCTGAGTAAGTAATTATTAATTGTTTTATTTATTTGTAATTGTGGTGTCAATAGAAAGCATTTATAGTAATTCATCAGGTTATACACAGATTTTAGTTTTCTCCTTGCGCAAAACAAGATATTAAAAATCAATAAATATAAGCTTTAAACAATATTATAAATCGCGATAATATTAAATTGCATGGTTTTGGTTTTTTTCTTAGAGAAGTGTGAATTTTTTTATTGGGTTAAATATGTAACGAGGAAGAGTATTTATGTTACTTCCATACGGTATTATGTTTTTTTTTTTTTTTTTTTTTTTTTTTAAATAGGTATACCATTCAATAAAGTTCAAATTTATAATATAATAAATACCAAGGATAATTTGAAACAAATTAGGTTTAATTATTTGAAAATACATTTTTTTTTAAATTAATAATTCATTAATAATCACATTAAAAATGTATAACGTATACTCGTAATTTAAGAAATAAGATCTAATTTTCTAGGTCTTTTATCTAAATCTTTTCATCCTCTGCGTTAACTTTTGTTGTTTTGTACACAGGCGTATAACTATAAAATAGTTGATCCATTTGATTGATGATGTCTTATAACAAATTATAGCTAATTATTATTAAAAGGTACCTAAAACAAGCGTTTAATTAAATCGTATGAAATGTTTATGTTCTTATTTACTGGAGGGGGCAGGGGTTGCCCTGCGCAACTGGAATATTACAATATTACATGTATCCTCAATTCATTTAAGCTATGCAAAGGTCATATATCTCTCATGTTTATCCCTTTACTGGTGAGAATGTTCATACCTTAAATACATGGAGACCCACCGTATTAACATATTGTATAACATTTATAATAAT